GCATAATCTATTTCTCGGAACAGCAAAGTATGTATTTAAACTCTGGGTCAATGAAGGACATCTCTCTAAAAACCAACTAAGAAAAGTGGAGGAACGCATTGAAAGAATGGATGTTCCACCAAATATTGGAAGACTCCCTAAAAAAATATCATCTAATTACGGCTCATATACTGCTGAGCAGAATGAAGAATTGGACTCTGTTGTACTCACTATTTTGTTTAAAAGGGATAATTGACGACAAACACTTAAAATGCTGGCAAACCTTTACTCTGGCATGTCGATATATATGCAGTCCAGTTCTAAATGATGCAGATATAATAAAAGCAGAAAATTTCTMCTGAAATTTTGCAATGAATTACAATTACTGTATGGCAACAAATCTATAACACCAAACATACTCGAAAATTTCCGTATATCATTTGGAACAGTTGATTATTATTTCTCACATTCATTGATATTGAATGGGAAGTATTTTGAGTATATATTTGCATGTGTGACCTGGTATGTACCTGTTCGTGACACAATTTACCGATTTCAATCCACTTATGGTTACAAATAAGAACACCATACCTGTGGGGCCATCTCAGTTTCTCCCAATACAAAAACTTCATTCCAAATGTTCATTTGCTGTATTCAAGAGAGAAAGTGGTGAAGAAAGATATATTATCAGTCCATTTATTAGACATTTTAGCACGCACATAGGATAACAGTATGATTAACGAATCAATTCACCATCTCTTTTGATTATAAACATATAGAGACCGTTCATAAGTATAATACACAAATTAAACACAATTTTCAAGATATCATGGCAATGTAGTTTGTTAAAAAATCTATCAAAATGAAAATATCTGTGAAATTATTTAACTATGAAAAAAARGTTATTTAAAATATTGTCAATATTTGGACGCTTCTCTGGTGTGCCATGGATGCATTTAACAGCAATTAGCCTGAGGTCTTCAAATTTGTTATAATAACAAATAAATAACAAGTCCAAAAGCATAAATATCACTAGCTTCGGATRGAGGATGAGTAACCACAATTTCCGGTGCAATATGCCTGTGGTGTTTTCTGTAGTWTTCCTGATCATTTAAGGACAGTTTTTTTACTTTAACATCACACTTTTTTTTCATTTTCCCGAAATCTATAATAATTGGTAAGATGTGTCCATCTACTTCTGTTAATACAATGTTGTCTCCTTTTATATCACAATGTATGTTTGCTTTTTGCAATTGCTTTAGAACAATAAATTAAAACTTTAGCCCATCCAATTTGGTCGGTCAGCAGCTTTGTTTGAAGTGCTCTTGCAATGGTAATGGATTTTCCATTTACTCCGTAATATTCCATTACAAGGGCATATGGCTTCTCATTTGTACAAACTCCAAATACAAATGGTAAACCTAAAACGAAAAGTATGACATAAAAATCGTTTGATGATTATGTTGACTATGATTGTGATGGGTTATTACGTTTAAATTTTTATGAAAAAATAGACATCGAAAACATGGCTCAAAATGACAATCATGTTAAAAAAACACAGACAAAAAACAAGTGTCAAAAAAACAAGTGTCAGCAAGTGGAATATTCTACGAGATATCTCGGCCGAGGCCGCAGGATGATGATGATGATGATTCTACAAAACTGATTTTTTTTAAACTTTGTCTGGGTCACGCTTTAAATTAAAATCGTATATGTTAATCGATAAATTGATTAAAA